GGGTGGGTGGATGCATGTGTGGGAGATGCATGGGTGGATGCATGTGTGGAAACAGCTGCCCTCAAGTGCTTGCCAAGTCTTACAAGGGGCAACTATCTCCCACCATCTGTCACTCCTCTGTTAGATTTACCTACGGGGTCTTTGTGGGACCAGCAATCTTTCTGTTTTATACTAAAACAGACAAATCTACGTATTACGGAGAAGAACAGAAAACCTTCGAGTTGTGTGGGGAGTCTTGGTTATTTCAAAATACTCTTTGTGAGGCAATATTTCAAGCGTACGGAAAAGTCTGAAGAAGTTGGTCATAAAAACCTATTCAAGTACCACCACCAGCTTTGAAACAGCAGCATTCCGGCCCATTTTCTAACAGTGTGTTGTGCCTTTTAAACTTCAAGTGAATTGGAAGGCTTTTCTTCTTCATACGTCAGTGCTTTTTCTCACACTTATTTTTCTGAGGTTTATGTTGATGTGTACCGTTCAAGCTTGTTTGTTTTTCTTGCGATGTGGTATTCATTGTATGAACAGACCACAATTCTCTTTCCCAATCTCCAATAGATAAACACTTAGGATATTCCCTAATTTTCTGCTGTTACAATAACCCTCACCGTGCTTGTCTCCTTGATCAAATGAGTTTTTTAAATTGTGGTCAAATATACATCACATAAAATTTACCATTTTGAGGAACTGGAGAGCATTATGTTAAGTGAAATAAGCCAGTCAGAGAAAGATAAATACCACATGATCTCACTCATTTGTGGATTATAGAGAACAACATAGACTGATGAAAAGGGACAGACCCAAAGACTGAGAAACAGCGATCAGGCTATCAATCCCCAGAAGGGAAGTAGGGGAGGGCGGCGTTTAGGGGAAGAGATCAACCGAAGGACTTGTATACATGTATATAAGCCAAACCAATGGACATGGACAACAGGGGGATGGGAGCATGAGTGTGTGTGTGTGGGGCGAGGTTGGGGGTTAATGGGGGGGCTGAGGACACATTTGTAATACCTTAATAATAATAATAATAATAAAATATCCTAACAATTTAAAAAAAAATTTACCATTTTGACTATTTTTAAGTAGATAGTTCTGTGGCATTAAGTACATTCCTATTGTTGGGTAACCCTCACCACCGTCCATCTCCAGGACTCTTTTCATCCTTCCACACTGACACTCTGTCCCAATGAACCATAACTCCTGAGCCCTCCCTCCCCCAGCTCTAGAAACCACCAGGCTACCTTCTGTCTTTATGAATTGGACTATTCTAGGTACCTCGTCTAAGTGGGATCATATGTCATTTTGTGGCTGGTTTACTTCACTTAGCACAAAGTCTTCAAGGTTTGTATCAAATGAATTTCTAAGAGAGAACCCAAGACATCAAGAAAAGATTGTATGGCCACTTCCAGGGCCCAGCCAAGAACGCCTGGACTACCCCACAGCCTTCTGTTGCCCTTTCCTACACCGCCTCCCAACAACGAACTTTCTACAAGTTGCCAGCGTGAGCCTTTAAACCGGAAATCAGAGTTCGTAACACCCACATAAAAACTCAGTAGTTTCCACTGCTCTGAGGATGCGGTACAGCTTTTAAAGCTTCATAAAGCCCCGACCACCTTCCCAGTGTCCTCCTGCAGCCCCAGCCCTCTCATTAAGCCCCAGTCCCACTTCCTTTCAGGATCTGGCATGTGGAAAGGTTGTTCCTGCCTCAGGGACCTTCTGTGACTCATCTCTCAGGCCTCAGCCCAAAGGTGACCTCCTCAGTGAGGCCCCCCCGGGTACATTAATCCATTCACGTCCCACACAGATCCAACTGCACCCTGTACATGCTTTTGTCATGAGTTTACTTGTCCCTCCTGTCTCCGTCTCTAGACTATGAGCTTTACAAGCACAAGGATCAGATCTGGCTGGCTCATGCGGATTCCTGCCTTCCTAGCTCAGTGTGCCTGGCATGTAGCTGGCACTTAGCAAATATTTCTTAAATGCAAGAATGTGCTTCAATTTGCTCATATGTAACAAGGGGATAACAGCCCATGTCTCCTAGTGCTGCATGAAGGTCAAAGCAACAGTGAACGAATTTAAAGGCCTCACCCAGAGCCATGGCCCAGGGTAGATGGGAGCTGTTCCACTCAGTTTTGAGAAAAACCAAGTCATGTAAGGGGGGACAAGTCAGCCAGAAACTCTGCCCCTCAGGGAGCACCAGATCTTTCAATAGCTCTGCATCTAGTGCCACCTCCTCCCTGGCTCCCCAGAGAAGGTGCCCCATTGGCCCAGCCCCTCCGCCCTCTGAGGACAACTCACCTGGGACCAGGCTCCCATCCGCCACTGTGCTGGGCAAGGCACTCGGAGGCAGGGCCGCCGGGCCTCCGGCCGGTCCCCAGGGCAGGCTTTGGCTGGCATGGCCTTGTGGGTACCGTTGGAGAGGGGCAGCAGGCACTGCACTGTTCGAGTCTGCACCCCCAGCTTCCCACAGCTCCGGCTGCAGGTGCTCCACTCCTCCATCACCCACCTGGAGACAGACAGGGCAGAGGTGGAGGGGAGGTGGGGCCATGGGGCCATTTCCTCCCAAGGTCGCTTCCACCCACTGAACTGCTGCAGGCAGGAGCCAGAGAGTGGGTTTGGGCTTCAGAATGCTTGGGGGCCAAGGCCACTGTCCCTCTGGCTCTGCAGATGCCAGGCTGTGTGGCCTCAAGGAGGTCACTTAATCGCTCCGCTGACTCCTCATCTGAAAAATGGGTATAATACATATTTAAATCCTGGCACCCTGCATATCCTTGAGCAAGCTTTTAACCCGTCTACCCCTCAGTTACCCCATCTTTACATCAAGAGCACAAAACAGCTGCGACAGTCACAGCTGGTACAGTAGGACACACTCCCATGGGGCTCTTCAGACAATTAAAGGACTTGATCTATGCAAAGCACCTGGCAGGGTGCATGGCATACAGTAGGCATGTAATAAATGCAGGCACCATTACTACCACCGTTAGCGCCTGCAGAGCTTCGATGCTGATCAGCTAAGCTGGTAGTAAACCAGGTTCTTTGAGTCAACCCCTTCCTTTAAAAAACAAAAAGCCCCAAAAGTTCATTGGGCCATTTTATAGACAAACTGGGCTAGGTGACCTGTTGGCCTTGCATGGCCTAGTGGGGAAGGTGGCCTGAATACCAGTGTATAGTAGCACATAAAGGGAAGCGGGGAGGGCTGAACGGGCGGGGATCCCAGCCTGGGCCGAGGACAGGGAGGCTGTGGCGGCCTCTAGCGCTGGTCACCAGCTCCAGCCCAGCCCTGGAGCTCCCCTAGCCCGAGGGAGCAGGAGCTGCTGTGAATCAGCAGGGCCAGTGGGCACCTGCCCCCACCATGGAGGACTCCTGGGAGGGCAGGAGAGTGGATTTGGCTCTCTGTGGTTTCCTATGGCCAGCTACCCTCAACCCTGCCTGGAGGCCTGACCTTGAACCCTCCATAAGTCACAGCTCTGTCCTCTCCCCAAAGCCACCTCCAAATAACCTCAAGAATATGACCCTGAGCTCAAAAGAGCCTGTATCCTCAGGCCAGGGAACCCCAACCAGGGCCCAGGGTCCATGGCCCAGATGACCAAGCTGAGCTGGTGGACAGCGCCCTGCCTGGGGCTTGCAGCCTGGCAGCACTGAAACTGCTTCACCTGCATGGACCTCCCAGGCCACTGCAGAAAGCTGTGCCCCCACATCAGGCCTCCGTTTCCCCACCTGTAAAAGAATGCTGGAAGTGACAGAACAAAGGAAGCATCTTCCTTCTGGTAGTGAAAGTTAATCCAGGGACCCAGAGGGGACAGATGGACGGGAGGGCAGCGCTGGCCTTGGGCAGAGCCTGGCATGGGCTGCTTTCTGCTCCGGGAGTCCTGCCTAGGGGCTGAGTCTCCGGGCTACAGGCTGGAGGAAGCAGGCTCCGCAGCCCCTCCTCCAAGGCCAGGGCTGAGAGAAGGTCTGCCACGCCCCGGGCTGGCGGCACGGGATCCGGCTCCTCCCCCCTCCCGGGCACTCACTCAGGCTGGGGGCACTGGTGCTGGTTGCAGCGCCTGCGGATGGGTTTGGGCCTCTTCTTGTGGTCGCACAGGTGCCGCTGTACCATGTGATGATCTCGTCGGCGCCGACAGCCGTATTTGGTGAACTGGATACCTGTGGTTGGGGCGGGGGGGGCGGGCAGGCTGCCAAGGGCTGGCTGGGCAAGACCCCCACTGCCTTGCCTGGGGCCTTGGGGACAGTGAGCTCTGGAAAGCCTGGAGGGCCAATCCCACCTTCATCTGGGCCTTTGCACTCCCTCCTGCCCAGGTCACTTTCCAAGGAAGCCTTCCCTGACCAGCCTGTCTCTATCCCAGGTGAACTGTGGGTGGGGACACAGCTGCCTCTCTACACAGACGCCCTGCCCTGCATACTGCTCTAGCACCCCAGCCCCAGCCCGGAGACCCTACCAGACGGGCTTCCACACCCTGGATATCTTCAAGGAGAAACTGAGTCATGAAATGGGGACACCGCAGGTAGAGACAAGGTCAGCCCTCTGGCCACTCCTGCTCGTCTCCTTCTGAGAGGCCCAGGGCCGCACCCTAAGGCAGCTGATGGTTGGGGCAGCCGGGCGAGGGGCAGTACCTCCTCCGCAGGCCTTGGTGCAGGGGGCCCAGCTCTTGAGCGCCCACTCGTAGGTGTCCGTCTCCTCCAGGAGAACGTTGTTGCTTCCGATGAGGGGCAGCAGGTCCTCGTGGATGACGTACTTGTAGGCCAGGCTGCCGCGGGGGCCGCCCTCAGCCGGGGGGAGCACCTGAGGGGAGAGGTCATCCCTCAGACTCCAATCTCATGAGATGTATCCGTTTTCCCTAACAGTTCTAGGGTTTGAGTTCCTGAATTTGGGTCTTTAGTCTGCTTTGAGCTAAGTTTTGCACATGATGTCAGGTAGGGGGCCAACTTCATTCACCTGTGGGCATCCAGTTGACCCAGCACCATTAGTTTGAGATTATTCTTTCCCCACTGAATGGTCTTGGTACCTTTGTTGAAAATCAATTGGCCTTCGATGTATGGGTGATCGATAAATACAGGGTGAACAGAAAATAGGGTGTTGGATTGAATTACTATGCTGACGTCAGTAAGCAGGCCCTGGACCCTGCCCTCCAGGGCCTCCCAGACTCGTGAGGGCAGCACCAGGAACAGAGCCAAGCTCCCCTGCCACCCAGCCTGAGCCAACGGCACTGCGGACAGAGCCCCTCCTGGTCTCCTGGGTTCACCATCCCTGCTCCTTAAGCTCTGGCCTGTGGTCTAGGAAGAAGGGCTGGGAGAGAGGCCCCCGACAGGACAGTGGCCCTGTTCCCTTCTCAGGAAGCCAGCAGTGCCAGGTGGCACCCCAAGGTCAGTTGCCAACTCACTCGCTGGCAATGCCATAGTGCATGCTAACACTGGATAGTGCCAGGACAACACAAGGGACAAACCCAGGGTTCTACGCAACGGAGAACAAACTCCCTGTGTGTGGCATCTCTGGTCCGACCTTTTTCCCTCCTCACTGCCATCCTGCCAGCCTGTAAGCACAGATGAGGAGCTGGCCTGCGATGGAGGGCACCGTGGCCCTGCTCAGGCTCCCGAAGAGAGTGGGGCAGGAGGATTTCCAGCCGGCTTGTGCTGGCTCAGCGGCAGGGAGGACCAGGCTGGGGGCTCACCAGGACAGCGATGGCTTCGGGCAGGGGCCCGCTCGTCTTGAGGTTTTCCTTGGCGTCCTCCACTGCATACTCCCACTCCAGGCCCATTGCAGTGAAGGTCCTGCTAGTGGCTTCCTTGCCCTTGGGGTTGAGGATGAAGCTGCCTGTGACCTGGTTC